AAATAAATGAAAAAAAATGTTTGGTATATCGTACTTCAGAAACATTGATAAACAGATAGCTGGTTAGAATGTTTTAATGTAGCCAGGACCCTGGATGCACTCCGGATTTTTTTTGAGTGTTGGTAGATGTGATAAGTGAAAACTATAAATAAAAAAAAAAAATTAGTATACATTATAATGTCATTGTTACTAATTCTTCTTGAGATATTTAGTATTTTTAAAAAACGAAAAATCAATTCACTAATGACAGAGATAGCATAGAACCCCCTAACCCCCTTCCAATCGCCCAAAGAAGTTCATACATTGTAATTTTACGAGTCAAAAGAATACATGCTGTTACATAGCACATAGAACAGGAATAAGACTGCTTTTCAGCTCAGATTTAAACATTCTATGAAATAACAGCTGGTAGTTAATTCTGTCACTTGCTTTGTGATAGCTGCAAAGCCATTGAATCCCAGGGCTATAATTATATATTTAACTTTCACTTGTACATGTATTTATGAAGAGTATGATTTTAATCATAGTGATAAATAATGTATTAAGTTAGTTATTCCTGTATATTTACACATTATCTTGACTCTTTTGCCTTTTTAATTAATCATAGTGGAAAATACAGTAGTGGGAAAACTGTATCTCACTGTAGATGTTCTTGTGAACTCAAGTAATTTTTCTGCGAAATGTTGGTGCAACACTTTGTACATTTTTATGTATCTATCTATCAATTCTTTGTTAATTTTGGACCAACTGTATTTAATTTCTTATTGGCTACAGATTTTGATTGACATTTTTGGGAAAACTTTGGAAATCAAAAGGTTACCGGTAATTTCATACTTATACAGAGGTGCAATATTATATGAACATTGTAAATATGAAATGTGAATTTTCATTTTAATATTTTGGGATGCCATTCTGGTAGTTTAATACTTGCATGCATGCACCTCGATTGTACATTTATGTAGACTCTATATCTGAGCAAATGTCAAACATGGAACATCATGATTCCAAGCAGAATCTAAAATAACTTAGCATACAGGGATTTTAGTTCATGCAGATAAAAAATAAATAGTCAGGTT